ATAAATACTCTATTTTAATATGAGATATTCATTATTTCAAAAAAAAATTTGTACTATTATCTTTTATTCTTTCATTTTCATGCTTTTATTCGATGGTTCGTAATTGTAATGTCTCAGAATCTCAATATTTGTCATGTAACCTAGCAAATGCCTTTTCTTAAACATTTCAATACATACTCAGGCGATTCGTCCACGTATTCCGCCTGTCTTCAGAGGGCGGACCACACAGTATAATCATATATAAGAAGTTTTGGATTCTGGTTGGCCAAGGGATTTCGCGCATGCTCATATCTGCTGTTTTTAAAGTCGAACTCCCGTTTGTTTAAATTGATGGAGATTACAATTGTTCTATCTTTTAATACAAGTACATTGGTTGTATGATTATCATTATACGAAATGATTGTCAGTACCTAAAATTACTAATCTTGGAGTTGAAGTATCATTTGACCAAGGAGGATGTGCTATTATAGTAAAAGATGGAAGAAGTAAAACCATAGGACATATCATAGATGAAAAACTGTGTTTGGTGAATACACCAGAATATGCCAAAATAGCTGAAAACTAATGCGCCGTCTTTAAAAAATGGCACTGTAGATTTGGTAACATAATTTACTCATATTTTAATAAGATGGTTAGAGAAAAAGTAGTCAATGGTCTGAAGTACTATGATGAAAAATTAGACAAAGAATGTGAAGCTTGCGCTTAAGGAAAAATGCATAGTTAACCATTCCCCAAGAAGAGTGTCAATAAAACAAGTTCACCATTTCATTGGATACACAGTGATCCATGTGGTCCTATGAATGTTGCCTCTATGGGTAAAAGCAAGTATCTGCTAATCTTTAAGGATAATTTTACCAGGTATGTGAAAGTGTATTTAATCAAACGTAAAGCAGAAGTATTTTTAAATTTTAGAGAATATGTGTGCATGGTTGAGAAGGAATTGAGTACCAAAGTTGGAAAAATAAGAACTGACAAATGTGGGGAATACGTTTCTCAATCATTTCGTAAATTCTGCGTTGAGAAGGGAATCAAACATCAGTTATCCGTATACCCCTGAACAGAATAGAGTATGAGAAAGGCTAAATCGAATAATGTTTAAAATAGGACGATCAATGCTTTTTAATGCCAAACTACCACCTCCATTCTGGGCAGAAGCCATTAATACGGCCGTCTATCTACATAACCGTAGTGCAACATAAACCCTGAAGAATCAAACACCATTTGATAGATGGTTTAGAAATCAGCATGACGTATCAATTTTAAAAGTCTTTGGATGATTATGTTTTGTGCATACTCCAGACAGCCTCCGAACCAAACTAGAAGCCTAAGCTAAAAAGCAATATTTGAAGGTTACCCTAAGGACATCAAAGGATACTAGTTTTATGAAACAAAACTCTTCATTAAAAGTAGAGATGTCCTATTTCATGAAGACAGGTTTCATTCATTTGAAGATAATAAATATTGCAATGATTCTTATTCCGTTTTCTGCAACATGAAAGATAATAAAAAGCCTCCAGAGAATGTAATTGATCACGAAATTTTTCCTGCTCCAGAAGGTCCTGTAGAGAATGTCCCTTCAGTGGGAACTTTGAGGAACTAAACACTGGAACACAAAAGACACAAGGTCTGATATTTCAGTGTCAATCAGAATATTGTCAAAGTTTATGTCAGTCCCAAGTAAGACTCATCGTCAAGGAGTAAAGCGAATCTTTAGGTGTGTAAAAGGAACGTTGAAATATTGTCTGAAGTTCAGCAACGATGGAGGTTGCAATTTACATGGTTATTCAGATGTTTATCACGTTGGAGACCTAGATACTCCACGTTCAACGTCTGGATATGTTTTTTAAATAAACAACTCAAACATCAGTTGTACCAGCAGGAAACATTCTACTGTCGCAAGATCAAGTACTAAAGCTGAATATATTTGCTAAGTCAAGCTTCTTAGGAAGTAATCTGGATACGATTGACTTGGGATGCAAACCATAATCACCAACAAAAATCCACGAGAATAATCAATTGAAATCGCACGGAACCCTAGATTACATAATAGAACCAAACATATTCATATAACATACCATTTTATTCTTGAACGAAGAAATGCGAAAGAAATTCATATCAAATATTGGGCATCAAAGGACATGATAGCAGATATCATGACCAAAGGACTGTGCAAAGATCTATTTGAAAAGCTTACAAACCTTTTCAACGTTAAAATATGTTGAAAAATTGTTACTGTATTACAAAATCCCTACATGGGAGTGTTAGAATAACATTACGATTACGTAATTATGACCTGACTTATTTACTTCCGATATACGATTACATTCATTACACGTGTACAGTTAATATTGGTGTGAGTCTCTTTATTTAACGTTATAGCTATTTTATCCTAAAGCAGGCTACACCAACTGCCCAAACAAGTTGCCTTGAGGGCTTCTAGTTAGTACTTAGCCATTTTTTTCCAAAGATGACTGCCTACTTTTATTAGGGAATGTACTGCATGCAAAGAATTGGATGTTCTGCCATTTCTAAACAGTCAGGATGAAATCAAGTTGCACCTTACTTTTTCATTGACATATTATTGCTGCTCTCCATTTTAATCTTAATCTATGTCAGGAAAATAAAAAAATGAGGATAGAGTGACCAAATGAAAGTTTTTTATCCTAAATTTATAATGGGAAGCAACCGTCCGAAATGTCAAAGTTCATCCAAAGTATTGTACGACAATTTTTTATAGTCTAGTCAATTGCTTCCATAATTTTAATATGAAAAATAAATGCCATTATAATGAATGGATGAACACTATTAAAGATTATATGAATGAAATATTCAGCACATTGTTGGAGGCTGACAAGGAAACCTTTAAGAAAGCATCTTATAAGTTACATCAAATGAACCCTGCCCTCTGAATACCATGCATGCTAACTAGTGCAAAGAATTCCCTGTTTTGTTGCATTCTTCAGGCAATGGTTGTAGAAGAGTTTGCAAGAACAGCTGAGGATATGTTTTGAAATGTAAAGCTAAATCTGATGAATTAATTTATAAATTTATAATACTACTTGTTTTAACAAATTTATGCATATTGCAAGCTAGTTTATGTGAATCATAATGCAGAGCTAACAAAATATTCATTAGGATCAGCTTGTTGAATGTTTTCCTGATGACACTGTATGCACATGCCCGTAGTGAAATTCTTTTTTGCGCAACAAGACCATAGACAAGATGAATAAATTCTCTTTAAGCCACACTTACTGCGTGATTCTAGAATTATGGCATTATACATATAATTATACATTGGTATACAGTATGCATCTTTTTGCAGATTTCTTGCATTCCTGAACTGTAACATGCACACTTAATACTCACATGTCTTCTGATCCTGTTTGCTTGTATCATGTTTTCTCCAATTTTCTATAGTTAGAAGATGTTAATCTTAAGAATCCTTTATCTAGGCAAATGGTATCAAATACTAGATGTTTGGTAATGCATGCTTGAGCAGTTCAAGTGTATTGAAGAACACGTTCATCTTCTAGACAAGCAAAACATTCGTCTATTTCTTTATAACACAGACATTCCTTTCCCTTGATAAGGCGTTCCATTGAGTCAAAGTTGTATGTATTTGCTGAGACCTCTTAACTTATATCATCCTTAACAAAAACTTAATAAATTAAACATATTCTCTATTAACAAGAACAAAAATCTCAATATATTCATTCGATGTTGTGTTATTCGTGTAAAACATAAAGCAGACTTTTTGTCTCAATAGCATGTAAATATTATCACATAACTTCAGTTTATTGGAGTCCATACTATTTTTTCAGTCAAACATAAAAACTGAACAAAGATGCATTTTGTACTACTTATTTGGCTACAATTTCACCAGAATCTGCAGACGCTACAGCATTCTACATACGCATTTAAGTTGATGTTTAAAAACAAGAAAATTTAACATCCAAAAAATGCAAAAAAAGTCTGATAATCACAGAAATAATTTAGCTCATGAAATGATTATAAGTAAATTAATTCAGTTGAAACAACGTTGACGATGTGTAAAATTATATACAACAAGTATACAGATAATTCTTGTTAATTGCACCCATTTGACAAATAATTTTTTCCACCAAAGAAAATGTTCAAAACTTTTATTTCATATGATCTATGTCTTTTCATTTCAATAGGCATTAATGTATATTTTAATACTTGCAAGAATGACGCAAATGGTTGTCGGCAATGTTGATAACAATTAGTGGATTTATTTTATTATTAGCCATAGAGATTGAGATTAATAACTTTTTTCAACACTTCCTGCCCAGCTACACAACTAATAATCCTTTCTTCAGGGTTTAAAACTTTCTGAAATATGCAAAGATGAGGATAGAAATTTTATTGACATTCTCTTCTTAATACACATTTTGCTTTATTACAGGAAAGAAGATACACTAAAGAGAAGTGAACTTAAAATAGAGTGTCCACGGTACGATAACCCAACGCAGTGTTAATGTGCATTCATGTTTTGCATTGTCAAAATTGTACCAGTAGCCAACATCTTAAGTGGTTGTTTTAGAACATGCTTCAATGTTTAAAGTTCTGTAACTGCTGACGCTTCCATAACCTGATTCAAGCATAGATATTAGAATAGTTTTATTTCCAACTATTACGCTCTGGTTTCTACGAAACTGATGTCGATTCTGTGAGAGGTTTTGTTTTATTGAAGACAAATAAATGATAATGGTTTCTGACACCATCAATCTGTTGATCTTCATCAATGTGATCTGGTGCGTATCTTCTAGACAATTCATTGACTCAGGCGTTGAGAAAGCAGCAGATCCAGTCAAGTCTGGATTTTTTTGAGAAAAGGATAGTGGTAATGTCAAGAAAGAAGAACATAAAGTTGATGAAATAGGTATTCAAAATTGAAAAGGCTTTTTTCCGTTGCCTTCAATTGTTTTTAGGTGTATGTCTTAAGACTAAAAAATGAAATACGCTTCAATCATGATTCCAAGACTGATATTTGTAATTTATAAAGCATGCAGAAGTTATTATAGTCCACATTAAGTTTAAACTCATTTGGTCAAAAATGTTAAATCCTAAGCCAGATTAACAATTTTCGATAAAATAAAACGCTAACCATGCTTGCTCTTTCTTTTATCTTTAGACTTGTCCATTTGACTGTAAGCAGTTGTGTTTCTACAAATATGGAAAATACTAGAAATATAACATGAAGTCATTCAATTGTTGTAAAATTGGTTGCTTGACATTCAAGAAGTATCTAAAATTTGGCCTAAAACCCTGGCTGTCATATATTCTATTATTTGAAAACAATTGCAAATGTCAAAACTTGAAGATCATTAAAGGCTAACTTTAATATATCACTGTGTAATGATCATATAATTTTTACGAGTATATAAGTATAAAAAATCACAAAGAATAAAGGCCTATGCTTTAGCATAAAAAAGGTCTTAGTGCTTTGAAACATCAATATAATGGAAAGTGGAACTTCACCTTGATAATCTAACAGCCTTTGTCAGAGAAATCCTGAAACCACAATCCAAGTTCTATACATGAAACTAGAATAAAGTATATTTGTTCCGAACTGGCTATATATAGTTCAATGTCTAATAAAATAAACCTACCAAAGGCTGCAGAACGTTCTTTTTCAGTCATTATTATCAATGATATTCATGAAACCAGGGTGGAGAATATAGGAGGTAAATGGGACAATCGCAAGTTGAATCTCATGTCTTGTGGAGGGAAGGTGTCTCACATAAACAACCAAAATTTTTAAAAAAGCAAAATTTCACGATACAATTTGAAAGCATGTTTAATCCGAAAAAAAGAACAACAATAAATAGAAAATGGAAACTGTTGAGTTCGTGTTACTCGCCATATCTCAATTTCGTATTATACTTTTCTCTTTCAGTAACAACAACGAGTAAACTTAGTGAATGAACTGATCTTTATTATTTTACAAGGCAGTATTTATAATATTCTCTAGAATTAGCAAATAATATTATTGGTCAAAATAATTCATCTAATCTAACTATATAAGGTATATAAGGAAATTCTACTAACGTCAATAACTGTTCCTTGGGTGTTAACCGCATGGGAACGGATACAATGGTTGACCAAACTACGTATTTACTGCTTCCCTTTACGTAACTCTGCGGTTTATGAGCATGACTCAACACCCCCACTTGCTCATTAACTAAATTACAAATTAATATCTATTTACCAGTTATAAATGTTTTGAATCTACTTAATTTAATCTTACTTACAGCTTTCGTAAATATATCAGCCACATTTTCATGTGTCGCTACATATACAATCTCTACATTACCAGCCCTTATTTCACTCCTTATGAAGTGATATTTAATATCTATGTGTTTTGATCTTTTGTGGTACATTGGGTTCTTAGCTAAGTTAATTGCACCCTGATTGTCAACATTCAACACTACACGTTCACCACTCTTACAAATACGCAAATCAACACACAATTGTTTCAGAAATTTTGCTTCCTGAATAGCCTCCGTCAATGCCATATACTCAGCCTCACAAGTTGACAAAGCAACTGTGGACTGCTTTTACCTCCAAGAAACCAAACCACTGTTCTCACTCAATCTGAAACCGTAACCTGAAATACTACGCCTGTCATCTACATCGCCAGCCCAATCAGAATCAGAAAACCAACCAATTTTAAAGCATTTTCACATTTTCTAAAAGTAATTGTTTGATCGCTTGTATTCTGTAAGTATCTAAGGACATGCTTTGCTTCCACTAAGTTCGCTTCCGTCGGTTTTGACATCTTTTGGGATAGCTTTGTTACGATAAAACACAAATCAGGTCTAGTACCTGTCATAACATAAATAAGGCTACCGACAATTTGTCTGTAAAGACTCGGATCTTCTAACTCAGGCGATTGATCTTGCAACATTTTATTTGTATCGGAAGATGATGGGGTAGGTTTGGGTTTACATTCCGAGATGCCAAATTTTGTTAGTAACTTAATAATATATTGCCGCTGGCTCATTGTAATTTCATTTTCAGAACATTTGAATTCAGTTCCTAAGAACCATGACAATACTCCTAAATCTTTCATTCTGAAGCGTTCACATAAAATTCTCTTAACACTCTGCATTAATGTTTCATTGTTCGCAGCAATGATAAGGTCGTCTACCCATACAATTATAATGGTAACATCCTTTCTGTCGAATCTCGTGTAGACACATGGGTCGACTAATGATTGTTTAAAATTTTTCCCGATTAAGTGTTCATGCAATACGTTATTCCAATTTCTACCACTTTGTTTCAGTCCATACAAAGACTTCTTCAATCTGTACACTAACTTTCTACCGTTTTTGTCTACTTGCTCATACCCTTCGGGTTGATGCATATAAATCTCGCAATCTATTGGGGCGTTTAGATAAGCTGTTTTTACATCCATTTGATGCAACAACATGTTATTTTGAACAGCGTGTTGAAGCAATACGCGAATTGAACTCATGCGGGCAGTTGGTGAAAAAGTTTCGTTATAATCAATACCGGGTGTCTGCGAGTAACCCTTCGCTACATAACGGGCTTTATGGGTTTCTTCCTCATTTTGCCCTATTTTTACTGTGTATACCCATTTCCCCCCAACTATGTCCCTGTCTGTTGGGGGTGGGACAAGTTCAAATGTATCGTTCTCGACTAACGCTTCCATTTCGTCACTCATGGCTTTTTGCCATTTTACCTTTTTGTCAGAGCTTATTGCTTGGGAATATGTCGTTGGGATATTGGATACTCTATAACAATAATCAACGGTATATGAGACTGTATCCTCCCCTAAAATCTCCCCGGTAACATACTCATTAAGGTATTTGGGTTTACTTCTTGTCCTAGTGGGGTATCTAGATTCTCCAGCTGTCTCTGGAGTACCAATGTCTTCTTGGGCTGTTTGGGGATTTCTTTCATGCAGTTTTGTTATTTGGGGTGTAAGTTCTTCGTCATCTAATTCTGGCATTTCCCTGCTACCCTCCCTGAAGAACTTAACACATCTTACACGTTCTACCTTATTAATCTCAGGATAATATACTAGATACGCTGGACTATTTTTATCATACCCTACAAAGATACCTTGTTTACTTCTAGGGTCTAGCTTTCTAGAGTTCTGTGAATATCCATAGCAAACACAACCAAAAACGTGCATTTTACTTAAGTCTGGTTTTGAGCCAGTAAACGCTTCAAACGGAGTTTTGTTTAATCTCGAATTAAAACAGCGATTCCTAATATAAGCAGAGGCCATGACAGCATATGTCCACATGGATTTTGGTAGCTCCGCTTCTAGTAAAAGACACCTAGCCATGTTAAATAAAGTTAGCCACGATCTCTCAACCGTGCCGTTCTGGTGTGGCGAATAAGGTGCACTGGTTTCGTGCCTAATTTTGTTTTCTCTAAGAATCGACTCGAATTTCTCGCTTGTAAATTCAGTACCGTTATCGCTTCTTATGCGCTTCACATTTCCGTATGGCGCAACGTCTGCTAAAAATTGTTTTAATGCTTGTGGTGTGTCACTTTTATGTTTAAGGAAATAAACCATATTCAATCCTGAATAATCATCAACAAACGACAACGCATACCTAAACCCTTCTCTTCCTTCCGGGTCTATAGGACCTGCAAGATCTGTGTGAACAAACTCAAGAGGACCTCCCGCCTTCTTATCTTCCTGCTTACTTTTTGTCTGACACATTTTACCTTGCGTACAAACTTCACACTCAACTTCCCTCAAGTCTGTGATTTTCATCCCCTTAACCACCTTCTCTAGCTTCCTAACATCCTTGTAGTTGCAGTGACCTAGAACCTTGTGCCACTCATAAAGAGAACATGCAGTTTTATTTGATGAGGATATGCTATTTAAATAGTACAGTTTGCCTTTTTGTCTTATTCTAAATGTTGTGCGATCAGGGCACTGTACATGCTTATCGTGCTTATTTAGTTTGACTTTAGCCCCCTTTTCTACAGCAGCATTTACTGAGAAGATATTTTGGTCGTAAGATGGGACATATAACGCATTACTTAATAATACATCCTGCGTATTCCCATGCAAGTCAACTAATTTGACTTCCGCAGTACCCTTACCGACTACTACGTTGGCTTTACTGCCATCTGCTAATTCAATTACATGCGCCTTACTATTAAAGTTACTATCAAAGTCTATAAATTTTGACTTATCGTTGATGATGTGGCTCGTAGCTCCTGTGTCCACCAGTAGAGTAAAGTTGGCCTGCTCCGTATCCTTTGTGTCTGCTTCAGCGGTCTCTTCTTCGTCCTTTGACACGAATACAAAGGAGTGTTGCTGTGCACCGTCACTACGCTGTTCGTCTTTCGCTGATTTTGACGTTTCTTTAGTCTTTCGGCAGTCTTTCGTGTCGTGGGTCTTGGTCTTGCATATAGAGCACCACTTGTTTCCCTTCACTCGACATTGTGCACTTTTATGTCCTTTCGCCCACATTTGAAGCAATTTCCTTCAAATTTTGGTTTCAAAAACATAACATTGTCTCCTCCCTCAGTTTTCGGCGACAATGATTTTAAATTTTCCTCTTGACTTCGTAATGAGTTCTTAAATTCTGCAAATGTCATTTCTCCCTCTCTTTGAACTGTTACGGTTGTGAAAACGTCGTACACGCTTGGTAAACCTTTCAAAACCATCGTGATGAGTAGCGCATCACTAATTGTCTCCTCAGCTTCTCTTAGGGCTGTTGCCGCTCGTTCCACTCGCAATATATAATCTGTGACAGTTTCGTCGTCACTTTTCTTCAGCGAGGTGAGTTCTGTGTAAAGAGAGATGATGCGCGGTTTTCCTTTGCCTTGATAATGACGTCGGAGGATTTCTAACGCTCGCCGTCCGTTATCTTTCGCCTCCCGAATCACAAGGGACAAACTTCTATCGTCCAGGCATTGGACCAATTCTGCAAAAGCGTCAGCCAGTTTTGAAGCTGCTGGTTCTTCTCTCTCATCTCCAGATTCAATAAATACGTCGTACAACTTTTGGAGACGCATATAGCCCAAGAATTTAACTTCCCATAACTCGTATTTGCTTTCGCTTCCATCGAAAAGCAAACCTCTCTGGGCCCATAACCTGTTGAGTTCGTGTTACTCGCCATATCTCAATTTCGTATTATACTTTTCTCTTCAGTAACAACAACGAGTAAACTTAGTGAATGAACTGATCTTTATTATTTTACAAGGCAGTATTTATAATATTCTCTACAATTAGCAAATAATATTATTGGTCAAAATAATTCATCTAATCTAACTATATAAGGTATATAAGGAAATTCTACTAACGTCAATAACTGTTCCTTGGGTGTTAACCGCATGGGAACGGATACAATGGTTGACCAAACTACGTATTTACTGCTTCCCTTTACGTAACTCTGCGGTTTATGAGCATGACTCAACAGAAACGTCACCTTTTCATCCCAAAAGCCATTGCTAGAGAAATAAAGCTATCACAAAACTAATTATATATATGGGATTAGAATAAAACATCACACTCACATTTATATTTATAAATTACATTGCTTAAAAGTTGTGCCGGTAGAGATTCTTTTGGGGTGGATGGTAGAATGGTTCTTTTCAAAAATATAAGATACATTGCTGCAAAAAAACAAATTCACCGTAATATTCTCACCCATCCATGGAAGTTTGATAAATACAAGGAGCTTAGCTGGTACAAAAGGCCTGTTCCGCTCATTTTTTGTGGATGAGAAAAGTTTATCAAGCATTTTTTAAGGATATCCATTTGAGAGAAATATCTTTCTCAATGAGTTGAGATCACCCTCAATGAACTCCTCTGATGGAAGTCTAAGCGTTCACTTTATTAAACACTTTACTAAAGAAATCTTTTCTGTGTGTGAAGAAAAAGAGTCAAAGCGTGTGTACGAACCCGTAAAAGTTTCCTTGCGATGAATGCTAGTAAGGAATTAACCATTGCGTTTATGGACAAGAACATCCAAAATCGCTAACTGACAATTGATTCATGCTCAAACGTATGACTTAAAGAAGAGTGAAGAAAACAGAGTCTATGCAAAAATAATTGGCAATTTTTGTTGTTACGAAAAAGGGAAAAGGTGTTTTCAACGCAACGTTTGTACCACAACATTTTTTGGAGGCCCAGAAGAGGCAAACATCTTACACTCATAATAGCCTACGAAAATATTAGCAAGTACTGGTCCATAAGTAGAACCCAAAGCCACCCCATCAATTTGCTTCTATATGATATAATTAAAAATAAACTCAACTCCTCTAGTGGCCGCTAACATTAATTCTTTAAAACCCCCCTCGGACATGTGTGGTACAGCCATGTCAGAGTGAAAAAGATTATCAACACAGATTTCGACAGTTTCTTCAAAGGCCACATTTGTAAAAAGACTGGCTACATCAAAAGAGCACATTGTCAGATTATGATGAGCAGAAAGAACTAGTTGTTTCAGTTGATTAGTAAAAGTAAACGAGTCTTTGAGAACTGTATTGAGAACTTCTTTAAAACAGGTGAAAATTCAACTGGCAGTTGTTTAGCTAACTCATGATGAGCAGAGTTAATCATGGCAAGAATTGGCCGAAGTGGAGCGCCCTCTTTGTGGATTTTGAGCAATCCATACATACGTGGTCTTTCTGCACCGGTTAGGCGAAGTAAATTGTAAAAATTCTCACTGATTTGATTTGACTTTCTTAATTCTAAGAGAAGGGTTTGTAGTCTCCTTTCTATTGAAGAGGTTTTGTCGCAAACAGGCAATTTACCAAGCTTGCAAAGTTTTTTCTCGTCGTTTAAAACGTTTGGCATTTTGCTATTATAGTCTCCCTATCTAAAATCACTACACCAGAGCCTTTGTCTGGTTGGCAAATTACTATATCCTTATTCTTCTTTAAATTAGAAAGCGCAACCATATGTTCTTTCGTTAAGTCAATAAATAGTCAATAAAACGTCCCCCTTGATTCCTGCCGATATTTTAGCCAAACACACACAAAATAAAGGAGTACAATCCATATTTTTGGAGAATCGACAAAACTTACAAATTTGAAAGATTTAAGTATGCTTAAACTAAATAGAGCTAAATATTTTCAACTCCTTATTTACTTAGTCGGTCAAGTACGAATAACTCCACAAAACAACTTTAAGAGCAACAATTCCAGCAACAACCACAGCAACAATTGGAACAGCAACTAAAACAGCAGCATATACTAACAGCCAGTTACTTTTGGCTGGATTGACCATTATGAATGCTGAATATTACAAGATCTAAAGAAATGAAAATTCCCCATTGTTTTATTGAATGTTACTAATGATTAAAAAAGCTTTATGATAATTTAAAAAGAATATAATTGAAAAATTTTGCCTCGGTTTTTAAAAACGATGTGCCGGAACATTTACACAAAAAAGGTCACAGAGACATGTTAAAGGGAATATATAATTTAAAAAAACAATTGCCAAGGGCATATTAGCTTAGGTTTTAGAAATGTTTTACATTGAAATTTTTAATACTGATTCCCCTATTTTTCTAATTTATTGAAAAATCATACCAGAATATATATGAATGCAGATGATAGTGTAAGCTATTTAATATTTTCCACACTTTAATCTTGATTCAATCATTGCGTAATAATTAAGGTTTTAATTTGCAGTCCAGTTATTCTAAATTTTGCGGTCAGCATTCAGTATTTTATTTATTAAACTCTATGTTTTCACGGATTTTGTCACATATCGATTTTTACAGTTACAAGTCAGCGGCTACTAAAGTACACGAAGTGGAATGGGAATTTGATTGGCTAAAGTTAAGTAACGGTTACAATACTTTCTGAATAAATTGAGGAACATTTTGAGGCAGAAGAGGAAATTTCTGATGGTCTCGATAAAAACTTGAGGGAGTTTTATTGAGTTACAATGAGTGTATTATTGGGGTAATTCCTAATTAACTCCCTCATAAGCATCAAGCTTCCAGCAAGCGAACCTCATACTGATACATTTTTTGAGCTTCGAATTTTATTTTCTACCATCGTTTGTAATTCACGTCGAAGTATTTCAGCGACAAAAAACTACATATTGCTCTCATAAAGCGCTGTATGCATTAAATAAAAACAAAATAAATAAAGCTCTGTTCTTACTACACGCGCAACAACCTAAGAGGGCATTTGAATACAAAGTAGAGATGTTTGTCTAACGTAGTTTATTTTTTTTCATAGCAGCAATAACCTAGACGATCTACATCCACTAATCAACAAACATTTGTGTGTTGGAAAATAGCGAGTACGGTATGTGGACTCGGAGTGTGGAATCTTTCCTAATCCAAAGATAGATACTTTTAACACAGACTCTATTAGGACATGAAGTTGAAGATTCAGAGTTCATGTTGTAAGCGTGTGATTCGAGGAGAACTTTTTTACTGGAACTCAACATTTTTCACTCTATGGTCTATGGGTCATAAAGTGAAAAATGCAAAGTATGTGTTGTATGCGTGTGATTAGCGGAGCCGATTCTTTATAGCGGAGCTCAGCTATTTTCACTCTTTGGGGGCATAAAATTGAAAACGCAGAGTCTGTGTGAGAAGTATCGATCTTTGGATCAGGAGAGACCGCAATTTTCCTACGTACTCCGTATTCCACCCTCTGATTCGAATAAAATGCGCATACGGATGACGGATGAGGGGATAAAACGCAGACGAGGGGCAAAAAGCGGATGAAGGGACAAAACGCAGATGAGGGGATAAAATGTGGATAAGGGATAAAATGCGGATGAGGGGATAAAATGCAGATGAGGAGATAAAACACTGATGAAGGGTTAAATCTACAATGCAGAAACTCCTACGTGTTGTATCCGAGTACTTCCTAATGCATATTTTTGAATACATAGCATGCACACATTACTACAAAATCATAAAGTTTGACAACTTAAGAGAGATACTGTATTTTATAGTAGTGACAAAAGAAAACATGCATGTTGTAATCTGTTGTCATGGCTTCCAGTTCACACGAAAATACAAACATACAAGTAAGTTATTCCCATAATCTTAGCAACGAATCATTCAAAAATTTTGGCATGTGCTAAAACCTGGACTAGACTGTGGACTATGTTGACTGTAGACTATTGACTATTATTCCCTATGTGAGCAATCTCGGGCGTGATTGGTCAAATACTTGCATATAATTCTCAATATCTACAATTGTTACGACATATCTACAGATAATAGTTTCTACAGTTATTGACGCCATTAAAACCGGTTTTGAAAAAATCAAACAATAGCGATGTTTAACACAGTTTCTAAACACGATAAGCGAAATCTTTTTTAGAAAGATAGGGAAAACACTAAAAAGCGAAGAAGCTGGTTTTGAGCATATTTACAGCATATCTCAACGCGAAAGACTTGAAAATAAACGTTCTGTTTTAGCGACAAATTAGCGAAGGTTTGAAAATGGTTTACATTCATCAGTTTGTAATATCATTTCAACTGTTAAGATGAATAATAAAACAATTATTGAATTCTTTTTCGCATGATATCAAAAGTTATTCAGACCTTGGTCGATGTTATCTAGCCATCTATGTCCCTTAGTTTAATTTGACATACACCATTTTTACATTTTTACCAATTTTACAAGGTTTTATACGTAATGTTAAAATGTTACATATGTTTCTTTACAAAATACGGTCGATTTACAATAACAGAAAACTGCTGGGAAGTAGGAACTATAAAAAACATTGTCATGATTACACTTAAGCATCTTTCAAAAATAATCACTAATTATTTACACTCGAGTTATTTATTTACTAATGACTGGAAAATGAGAGAGCATATCTTAGTATTGCTTTTACTTGACATTTGATCATCGCTTAGCAATTGAGGGAGGGGTAGTATTAATATGTTCATGATATGCAGACTTAAGCTCTTTTAAAATCCATTATTTTCTAAAGATTATAACATGAATACATGAATATAACACCCAATTATCGACCCTCTGCGGTGCCTGAGTAATGGTAAAATTTGTCCGATTTTTGATCAAAAACGTCTTCTGATACGTTCTTCATACATGGAAGGTACTAAAAGTCCAAGCTTTGCGTAATAAACAAGGATCTACTCCCTCGGTTTATGGTAAGTCCATAGTCTAGTCCAGTCCAGGTTTTAGCACATACCAAAAATTATGTTTGAAAATGGAGTCAAAAAAGTTTTTTACTCGAGGCTCAACAGCTGTGTTTGAGACTCAAACCACACTCAACACACCGTACAAATTGCGTTTTATCCCCTCATCCATCATCCGTATCCAGAGGCTTATCCGCAATCCGCATATACATTATATTCTAACACTTCCGCACTCAGCATTTTCCATTATGCCACAAAATATATTTATCGACATTCCCGAGTTTAAATTATCAATATTTTATTCTGTATGACACTTGATTTCTTTCTTTATTGGTTACATTTCGTCTGATGTCAATCATTTTTAAGTACAGATAAAGCAGGGGCGGATCTAGGATTTTTCAAACATCAGTCATAAAAGGTCGGAGGCGCTCCGATCCTGGAAGGGCATTCTTCCCTGGTAAATTTTGAATTTCAGAGGCATTGAAATGCCATTTTTAGCGTTTTAGAGAAATGCATGTATTTTGTGGGCGTCGTTTTGGCGTAAAAACAACACATTTTGCTTACGTTTTTTTTCAAAACAAAACTGAAGTGAACAATAATGGACATTTTGCCAAATATTTAGGCTCATTATCATGCCAAATGTATGGCTCATTATCATGTCTAGGAACATAAAATTTAATTTACAATAATCCTATTCCAAAAAAGATATTGTCTTTAAAAATTTCTACCAAGTTGTCAGGCATAGACCCCCTAGAGACCTGTATTCACACCTCTATGTAATGAGTTAAGTTAGAAATGAGGTACTACTTAGGAAAGTTCATAGGTGTAGAAAAGCTCAGACTTCAAACCATAAAGTTTATTGTAACCCTAACCCATCTCCACATACAGTGCCAGCAAATTCATCTTTTGAGAAAAAACTCAAAATTTTTTTCTACCAAATAATAAGCAAAAATTATCAGCGTGAAAATTTGCAATTAAGGACAGCTTAATATCATTTATGTTTATTAGGCATTACACTAGCCTATTAACTTCAGTAAGTATATGCAAGGTGTGCTATATAGCAATTACCAGTAGCATTGTATTTGCCAATACAAGCAGAATGTAACCAACATGCCTTTAATCATATAATTACATGAATGTTAAAATTGGTTCACCTGTCATGCTTACTGGTCATGATAAATATCTTTTCATATGATCAAAACTAGTTTAAATGAAAATCTGAAATAATTTAGTTTAGAAATTATAATGATCATCAGAAAAATTACCTAGTGATCATGAAAAATACTTTGCTGTTTTGCCAAATTTCAAGGATTATCTGCATACATAGGAAGACATTTTTACTTTATAGAAAATGCTTTTCATACATCAACAGCCCTTTGGAAATTCTGGCAGGCAATATTATATGAGCCGTAGATCAACACACCTTGACATCTCTACATGAGGTGTTCAGTTAGAAAAGGGGACAATATGTGACATGGGACAGCATTTCGTGTATGTGAAATACATTCCAGTCAAATTGTCAAAATAAAAAGCTTCATTGATCAGAAAAGACTCAAAATCACAGGTTATAGTAAACAGCTTCTCATGTAATCAATGTTAGTAATCTCAAATCTTAAACAATGCGTAGTATAACTGTCCAATTAACTCAAAAAACGAAAACAAAATGATGAGTCAAAGTGAATGGTATAAATTTAGTTTTGGTGCTCAGGAAGGCTGCGAACATATGACCCGAGTACAGTTGTTTTTTAAACAAAAGTAAAAGGTCTTGAATTAAATTTCCTTGTGCGTTTTGTGTTTCTCATCACATTCTAACCCCTAGGTAATATGGCCTTAGGCAACCAATGTGCAGTTCGAGTAAACATTTTGAATATTTCAATTGTTCTATAAGTCACAAATAACAAAAAACTTGCAAAAATCGACCACTCATTAGAGCTTCCAGCTTATAGCACGCGGTCAAAAATGACATTTTTCTGACAAGAAAGCTTTAGTGTGCGTTAGACTTCAGCTACCTCTAAACGCTCAAAAATCTGTTTATACCGTTTAGTAACTATGTATAAATGTCGGTTAATTACGATCTATACATTAATAAACGTTTAACATGTAACGATTTCCAGTGAATATGGCCAGATTTATAGACAGCTTACCTTTTATGATGATTTAGAATTGCTTGTCGTCACCAAGCACACTTCAACTCTTAAGACTCTTTTGAAGATTTGAACCGTTAATTGCTTTAGGAAAATGCAATAAGAGTGTTATTTCAGCATAGTGTTAGCTCGCTTTGTTAAAATACCAGGGTGTTACCCACTTACCGAACTTGTAAAGTAAACCTGATAATATTTGTCTTCGTCAAGTCGATATGTTACAAATTAGCTTGTGTATAGAGTCCTTAAGTGGTGACGTCACGTTTCCATGGTGCTAAAAATCTCAGTTCTAAACAAGCGTCCATTCGATTCAAAATGGCGACATCATCCATAGCTACGCTTTTTTCTTTCTTCTCAGAAGAAAAGAAATCTATAAAAAAGGGCGAAAACCACTTTAAGTCAGATCACATTGAAGCATTTACTTACCAGCAGAGTGTTTTACGAGGAGAAGTACACGCAAGAATGAAACAAAAGGTTTATAAAGTGACGGTGAATGCCAAATGTCAAGATTAAGTTTGACACTGTTTTTGTTGCTCAAATGAACACGAGGGCGTGATTTTTTCTGGTAGTGAAATAAAAAGAGGCTTGTTAATGAAAGATTTGTTTTAAAAAATAATGATACTCGTCGGTTTACAGTCCTCAAATTGTCCTACCACTACTAGTTTGGTGTGAGGGAGTTGTGGTAACAGGCTATACATATATTTGCATCTTTATTAATAAACACAAGGATAACTGGTATTATTTAAAAGACATGGAAAAATGGTACATCATTTAATGTTGTTTTCCTGAGGGGAAGGGAAATTCCCATATAAAAGTGATGGGATGCTCATGGGAAATGTTCAGAAAGACCCCTCAAGGGTAACTGTGGGCAGTACGTGCTTTTATTTTTATCCCCCAAAAGACATCCATTGTAAAACATATGTCAAAACTTCTTTTAACTTCTGTTCTCTTAAACATGATAAAAGAATTCTTGCAGTGATCTAATTTGACACCCTATGTACACCCAGGCTGTACCAGATGATAAATATTGTAATCCCTAGGAGGTAAAATCATCCCTTTACTGTTATATTAGAATGCTCCCCCCACCCCTCTGGCTGTATTTTCTTCTAAGTAAGCCTCAGTCTACAAATTATTTTATTTCTATTTGAACAACAATAATTATTAAAAAACTGTCCAATGTAGTCTTCAAGCATTAAACTACTCAAAAACCATATCTTCCCATCCCTCTTTGATGAAAGGAAATTGCAAATTTACAAGTGCTGCACATAACTGAAACAAAATGTCAGCATAGCAGCGCAAATACAAAGGAATGAAGCCTATAATTTTGAAGTCTTTCAGACTAGCATTGGCTCTTTCAACATGAATCCGTGCTTTAGCTATGGCTTTTGTTTTTATGACCTCACTCTCTGTGAAAGTTTCATTATTTAGAAAAGGTGGGATATTGATACAGACAGCATGTGGTACAACATCCTGGATAAGGAAACCCTTGTCCGCCAGAATCATATCTCCAGCTGTCAAGTGATTAAGGAGTCCAGACTGTTGCACAATGGCCTTGTCTGAAATAGAACCTGGATACAGCCGACTGACATTAGTAATGACTCCATTTGGTGCAACACCAACTATTACCTTAAAGGAATTCATTCCTCTGTATGATGAATAGGTCGCATTTTGCTGACTGATCAATGCCGGTGCAGCTACCTCAATATATATGCAATCTATAACAATCCGACAGGATTCAAATTACCTGAAAGAGGAGGGTGCAGAGATCTTGTTTTTTTTTCGGGATGGAATCGACGTCATTATATCGTCAAACAAAATTTCATGCAAAACATGAGTGAATGTTATAACAATGTTAGAAATTGTGGCCACACTACAATGAAAAAATTGGGCTAGGTGAAGCTGTGCGTAGTTCTGTCGTACTTAATGTCGTACTTAATGAAAATTAAAGTGATAAAAATTTGATCCTCAAAATTGATGGATTCTACCTTCCAAAACACGATGAAGCACTCAGATTTAAGGTTTTGGCTACGGAAAATACAAAGCGACCGTTAAAAAGACAACTAGCTGAACCTTCTATAATTCAGTATTCGATGATTCTCCCACATGTCCTGATGTCAACTCTTCACCTGAATAGAGTCCGTAAATCTCACTTAAAATCACGTAATTCATCAAATTTTCATCGATTAAGGAATTCTTTTTGAATATCAGTTTATCCTTATGAGTCGAATCCTTCTCTTGTACTCGTCGTTCTGCTTTGTAGCGCTTGGAAAAGCGAAGAACTTTGCAAGTGTTGCCCTCCGACGAATGGCCACATGTAGGAGCAAAACAGTAAACCATTTTGCCCGTTTGACCCGCGTCCTTTACACTTCTTCAACAAAAGTTGATCCCTTGGATGACCCTTTAACCTTTCCTTTTTTTTTACTGTCTTTTGTGGGATTAAACTGGATAATTAAAGCTTTAGACATTCAAAACAAAGGAAGCGTGTCCAAAGCGCTCGCATAAGATATTTTGTTTAGAACTGCATTTTTTAGCGCCATGGTAACGTGACGTCACACTTAAGGACTCTATAGGAGGTTGTGAATAAATTATTTCAAGAGTCTTTGTTATGTGAAGCACGCACACTTACGATTTGCATTGTTTATTGTTGTTTTAATGCTAATTTCTATACAGTTGCATTTTATGCATAGAGGAAAATGCTCGGGCGCATGTTGCTCTCAATTGTGAAGGATTTACCACTTGGCGGACATTGGACTGGTCACTGGTGCGCTGTTTGTTGAGAAAAGAAACATGGCTGCTGTCGACATAAGATATTTACTTCTGCAATGCTTAAAAAACACCGTAAATTCTATCTATTTACTTTGTCGAAGAAGAAGGGATAGGATTCCTATAAAACGGTGATTTTGAATAAGCTAGGAAATCACCGCTTTATTTCAGTGGTCTTTATATCTCGAATTTAAGAGCTAAACAACGCACTTAGAAGTAGAATGAATTTAACTTTGTCGCATTGATCTAGAGCTGCTCGAGAGCACACAAGTGCTACTGACCTTTTGAACTTGTGGTACACGCGTTATTCGAAAAGAGTGCGAGCAATTTGCGATATAACGCAAAATGCAGCTGCACGGAAATTAGCCTTTAGTTGGCAAATTGATCTATAATTTATATAATCATTAATTTTTCGATGTATTTAATAATTGTCATCAATGCATTAGATCTAGGTTTGAGCATTTTAAAAACGTTAGTTTTTTTTTCAGTGTTGATCATGTACGTTGTTTGTACGTGTGATTTGTACGTGTTAGGAAGTGCAACTCCGGCGAAATTTGACCTCATCTTTTTTGCCAAGTACAAAATACACATTAAAAGGAACTTTTTAGTGTTTCTTTGGGCAATTTCTTTGAAGTATAGCCTATCTAAATCCTACGCTAAATCTGCACCAGATGCGAAATTTTAGTAATTAGCCTTGAAGTCGTAATCTGTAATGTTGTACATTGTACACGTCTCTCTTGTGTAATATGATTTTATAATTATATGCAAATTGTAGGACCGGTGATCTTTTTATTAAATTCCAAGCCGAAAATGGGTTACAATCCACAAATTTTTACAAAAGTATTAAAAAGGAAACTATCAGATTAACAATGGGCAAAAAACTTCTAAAGTACGCCTTTTTTATTGAAATTTTATCAACCAGGACTGTTGACAGTTGATTTTGAATTGTGATGTTTGCGGCCTTTCGGTTGTTTGCCAAACATTCAACATTGATTATTTTGGTTTGACAGTTAGCAGTAAGTACAACTAAATGAAAAATGTAGTACTTCCGGACAATACTGATCAAACGCTATCGGTCAATTTTTACTATTAAGAAAACAATCATAAAAATGTTATGTTACTGTAACGATTTGGCCGGAGTTCATTCAGAGTGGTCACAACTCATTGAAAAAGACATTTCTCTCAAATAAATATCTGGACAAATGCTTGATAAATTTTCTCATCCACAAAAAATACGTGGGATAGGCCTTTTGGATCAGCTAAGTGCCCTGTGTTTATTGAACTTCATGCATGGATGGGTAAGGCTTCCAATAATATTGAGAGGGAAACTGAGAATATTACGAACAATTTGATTTTTGCTAGTAAATTTATTTTTATATTTTTGAAAAGAAATGACCACCCATCCCCAAAGAACCCCTAACGGCGGAACTTTTAAGGAATGTAGTTTATGAATATAAATGTGAGTGTGATGCTTGCTATGTAGGTAGAACGTCTCAAAGGTTGGGTGATAGGATGAAACGGCATATACCAACTTCAATCAGAAATAGAACGGTCCCTCACGACAACAACCAAAACGTAAGAAAAATAATTTAGTTTCATGTGACAAGAGCCCCTAACGGCGGAACTTTTAAGCAATGTAGTTTATGAATATAAATGTGGTTTATGAATATAAATGTAGTTTATGAGTGTGATGCTTGCTATGTAGGTAGAACGTCTCAAAGGTTAAGTGATAGGATCAAGCTGAATGTACCAACATCAATCAGAAATAGAACGGTCCCTCACGACAACAACCAAAACGTAAGAAAAATAATTTAGTTTCATGTGACTCCGCAATATTCTAACATCTCTTGCGTAACCCATGTGCTGATTCTTATTCAGACGACAATTTTAGAATCATTAAGAAGTGCCATTCATTCTTTCAGTAACGCTCACGAAGGCTGTTTAATTAAGTTAACCAATCCCATCCTTTGCTGATAAAAAGATTATGTTTTCAAAAAATCATTGTTTTGAAGCCCTTTTGGAGATGATGTACACTCTCTCTTAGCATTATAAATATCGGTAGATCTTAAAATTTTCATTTATTTCACATAATGAACAGCTTCTTATAAAATCAATATTAGTTTTCTCAAATTGTTAAGCAATGTATGGTATAACTGTCGAATGATTGAGTGATCAATGATCATAAATTGAAATTCCCCAAATATTTGTTTATAATTGACTGCACTTTACGTCATGATCGCCATTTTGGTAGTCAAATACAAAAGAAAACTTTATTAATGCTATTGTCAGCACCAGCCGTAGTGGGCTAGCCACATTGTTCGATAATTCCATGGAGGTTGGTTGCAATCCAAGAATTTCCATTTCGATGCTGCCATGTTGGAGGGCAAAGACTGCTATTGTGAGCTCCAGACGACATGGGCGGACCTTATTGTTTTTCATGGCCCTGCAGTTGATTGAAACCCAAGAATTCAATATTTTTTGCCTCCAACATGGC